GGCCGGGGCCGGCACCGCGGCGCCGGGGGGTCCCGCGTCCGCTTCGAGGAGGGCGCCGTCTTCCTGGCCGCCTGCTCCAGCGGGGACACGGAGGAGGTGAAGCGCCTGCTGGGCCGCGGCGCCCGCATCAACACCACCAACGTGGACGGACTGACAGCCCTGCACCAGGTACCGGGAGCCCGGGCTCGGGGCGGGCGGGAGCTGGGCCCGGGGGCGGCCCGGCGGTCCCTTCCTTTCGCTGCCGCCGAGCGAGGCTTCCCCCGCGCCCCCCATCGAGGCAGCCGGGAGGGGAACGCGGGCTGCGGCTCGCTCTGCCCTCGCCGCTTCAGCCCCGGAGCGGGGCGGGGGACACACACGAAGATTTCAGACGGTTCCCCCGCTGATGGCGGGGGAGGGCAGAGCGGTACCTGCAGCACCAGCGGTGGGTTGTTTATAAACAAAACGGTGACAGAAAGCTTTGATCTGAGCCTCATCCTGCGTGTTTAGCGCGAGTCTGAAGCAGAGACCTAGTTTGGAGGGAAGCGTGTTAGCAGATGCCAGTCGAGCAGCTTGATGTACCGAGTTCTCACAGGGATATTAAGTAGCTTAATTAGCAACATAAAACGTTGGGCTGGCAGAACTGCGAGCCGGGCTAGGTGGCCAATTTATTAATTTTTGGAAAACTTCTGACTTTGTGCCTGGGGTCTGCTGAAATAGCAGCAGTACTAGGAAAATTTCCTGGGGGGGGTGCGGTTTTTGCAAGGTCAGAAGTGTCTCATCAGCTTCTGTGTTTGTGTTCTGTCAGAGTCGCCTTGAAACTCCCCAAATGCTCTTTGGCAACCTTTGCATAGAGCAGAGAGTGCCCGCATCTCAGATAAGCGATGCGGATTCTATTAATACTCATCTAAATGTGCTGAAGATCATACAAAAGTGGTCACAGAAATTTGCTTCAGAGTGGTAAAGCCTTGCCTGTCTAGAAACATGTGCTGTGTTTCGTCTGTAGCTTTTGCTGTCATTGTGTAAATGAACAGGAATGTAAGGGAGTATGTGAAATTGCTACCCTTTAATATTGGGAAACCTGTTGCTATCTAAGACTGATTCAGAATTTAGCAGGGCATGTGAAATCAGTGTCCCAGATTGTTGCATCTGGTCAGTGAAATGAATCTGATTTGAATCTGGGCCAGCCTCAGGAAGAAAATTTTCTTAGCTCAAGATCTTGTAGATTAAGCATGTAGTGTAGTGACGGGACCAGGAAGAGAAGCACAGTCCAGGAATAACATCTGGAAATAATGTATTTGTAAAGAATAATGCTTTAATAGCACAAATAGCAGCACAGTAATTGAGTTGATTAGGCTTTCTTCTTTGCTCGACTGGTATTATTGAACTGAAGCATTTGGGACATTTAAAAGCTCAGCTCACAAGCTTGCTTGCCTCATGGCTGTCAGTGAACAAGGGGCAGTGATATTGATTCGTTTTGTTTTGGAGTTCCAAAAATAAGTTATGAAGAAAAGAGCATAGCAGTTTATGGACCGTCAGGTTGAATAAGACTTCAGTTGGCAAAGCAGTGAACTTTGTAATGGCTTAGATTTTTTATTATTTTTTTTTTTTTAGTATAGCAATAGCAAATAGATTATGCTGCTTAAGGAATCTCCAATACAGCATGTAAACATTTATTATCAGATAAGTAGTCGTATAGAGACTGGTAAGAGCCAGTTACTGAAGAGCTAGTTATTGAAAGCATTTTGACAAGCAGGAAGGCTGAATCTAAGGTGGATAGAAGTATGGTAGGGTTGGGATGACTTCATGAGGGCTTTCCAGCCAGGATTGATTATGATCTCTTCAGAAGTATCTGGGTATATTGCTGATGTATGTAATGTAACGCTTGGCCAAAAGCGTATCTTGAAGTGCATTGGATTCATCAGACAATGGACGATTATCTCTGCAAGGTCAAACTTCTTGAATATATGACAAGCCATATATTGACAAGCAGGCTGCAAATGTAATTCTGTATACATAAAGAATTGTGTCTTAGGAGCTAAGTATCGGGTAACATATTGGAACAGTAACACCTAAGGCTTGATACTTGGAAGAGCATTTTGATGAGTGAGTAGTCATGCAGATGCTAGCTGTACAAGCAAGTCTCTTACATGAAGTATTTCTTCAGAACCTTTACAGTAAAGGGAGTTGACCTTACTTTGAACTTAATAAAAGCTTTGTTCCAATGTGCCGTTGATGTATTAACACTTTCTCATCTGCATATCTCAGCACCAAAGAGTGCTGAGATGTTCTTGCACACCCAAATGGAACAAACACTGATTTGTTAGAGGTTTTGTTGTACACGTACATCTTGAGTCTGTGAAACTGTATCAGATGAAAATGTTTATTATCATGGTTGAAGAGGTTGTTATGAGTTCCTTATCACTGAACACTTCCAAAATATGTTTGTTCATATTACTTGGGGAATGATACTCTCTGTTGTAAAGTGTCAGCTGAGGTCCAGTTAGGTTGAGGGTCCCCTGAGTGCTGGTTGACAAAAGAAATGAATGTAGTACACGTGAGGATTTTTTTAATAACTTCTCTTAGTATTAGAAACGTAACATGAGAGATAGGGCAGATGGTAGTGACTGTCTGCTCTTGTTTAATACTTGTAAAACCAAATGGCCATGCAGTGAGGAAGGAAATCCTACACATTGAAAAGAGTTTGCTTTGTTGAAGGAAAGATTGGGTAAATTTTTTTTTGTTGTTGTTAAAGAACTTAATATTAAGTGAGGCTTGCTCCGTACAAGCAATGTCTTTTTAGGTAATGGAAGGGTTAACAAAGTCAATTGACTTTATTTGTCAAAGTCGGCATCTGCTTGTACAAAACCTAAGGCCAATCTTAGAAATCGGGTTTGTTTGAAATGCATAGTGGCCCCAAATGCTGCGTGGCGTTCAACAAAGGTAAAATTACACTTTCTCTAGTATCTGGGCCACTATGACTAAGAACCATTGTGTACTTGCTGGGTGAGAAGCTGTCTTTGCTATTTATAGCTATGAAGCTGTATTTGGAAAATAACCTTTTAAATTACAAGTGGTGTTTCTGAGCCTCCAGATTGCGTCGTCCTCCTCTTTGGAGGCATCAGGTGCAGCATAAACTTACACCACAGGCCGGTGTCTGTTATCTGTATTGTGGCTTCAGTTATACATGTATCTTTACATTAGTGCCTGCAAAATGCTTCTGGATGAACATCAATCCCGTATTTTCAGTGATTAACTTAATTCATCGAGTATAGTGTATTTTTGGCAATGGTTTTGTGTCTAGTGCAGAATGGAAAGGGAGATACTAGCTAAATGTGAGTGAACATCTAGAAATCATCAAGAAAACTGCTACCAGTAGCTGAAACAAACTATTGGTTGCAGTTGAACTTCTTTAGTGTTTGGAGATGGTGGGAAGTGGGCATGAAATGCTCCCTCTTTCTCCTGAGCAACAGATGGAACCAAAGAGTAAACTTTTATAAAAACTGAGTCTTAAGGGAAAAAAATTCTGATGCTGCTAGTCAGGAAGGCATCTCCAAATGTGATGGCCAATGCTTGTTTGTCTTTAAGGACTGGTTCACAAACCATGACAACAGAAAAGATTGTTTATCCTTTGTCTGCCCTTTGATGATTTACCTGCTGTTTCCCTTTTACCTGTTCCCTGGAGGAGTAAGTTGCTCATGAAATAATTTCTGAGTTTCTGTCATTTACAATACTCTTAAGGTAGCCTGGCACTTGCTTTTGACTTATTTTCAGGTGCTAGACACCTGTGGTAATTCAGAAGCTGCTTCATGAAAAGTCAGGTACTTTGCGCAGTGATTCTGGGTTAGATAGTGGAGGCTGTAACCTCTCTGGCAGTCCCTGTTTAAGTTATTCCTGCTTCTAAGCCAGAGCTGTAAAACTGCAGGCATGTCCAGTTGCTCTTCAGGGCTTTATAAAGAGGCATCCATGTCAAACTAAAGCTGGTCAATTTGTGGTTGCTGCGCAGCAAATTTGGCCCTTTACTCACTTCCAAATGTTGTGTGCAGTCCTAGCAAAGCAGAAGGCAGCAGAATTTTAGGACAGTCCAGAAACACAGCCAGGGCTAACACCTTACAGACCACTTGCCCTAATCACAGCAGTCTGGAGACAGTTGGAAGAATCATCGAGGTGCTAACACCCCAACAAAATCCGGGAGACTGAGGGGAAGAGAGGAATCCTGTGTGGATTGGTGTTTTTTCTATCTAGGATATCACTGCTAGAGAGCATGGAGCAAATGGTTGGAACTGTAGTAGTGGCTGAAGCACCCTGGGTTGGTTTCACAGGATAGCTGAGAGAGATCCAACAGTCATTACCTACACAGAGTGCTCATACAGCAGCAGCTTCTACGTGAAGTTTCTTAATTACCAAAAGGTAAAAGCTAGCTTGTGCCTTGAATTGTGAGGCTGTAACACAACGTACAGTTGCATGAAAACTCTTGAATGAAGTATTCAGGTACTACATACACATATGTTTGGGGCATCACAGCTGTACTTTAAGGTAGTTTAGCTTCTGATCTTTTAGTCGGTGATGACAGTGTCATACATCGGGCTGCATTTTTTAAGATTGGGTGGCTGCATTGCCTAAAAATACATTAATCCTAGGGAGAGAAGTTTATCTAGGGAGAGTCATACCTTTTCCACTGCACTCTGCAAAGTTTCTTTCTGAAGGTATGCTTCTGCCAATGAAAATGGAAGTTGCAAGCTGTTTGTACTGTATTTAATGCTGCTCATCAAGTTGAAATATGACACTGTCAAAAATAGGGTTTATCACTAGTGTAAGTGAAATACTTTTTTGCGGGTTTCACTTATAAATGGGAATACAATAGTATGTACTCTGAATAAAATGAGAAAGTTGGAAGCTACCTACGATATGCCAGGAATTTATTAGACAAAGCTAGTTAAAAATCTGAAGTGCTGTTTTACCAACCTGATGCTTTTATTTTCTTGCTTTTGGCTTACTTGGTCCCTCTTTTGGCTTGATGTTTTGTCCCTGTGGGTTAGTTCAATTGTCTGTCCCTTGCATCTCTATTTCAAAACAATCTCCTAAGTGGGCAGCATTAACTCCAGACTAAACAAACTAACCTTGAACTGAAATGAGTTAGAGCCTTGGAGGATTGATTGCTACTTGCAGCAGTTGGAGGAAGTCTTCCTTTG